GTGGTCAGTTATTATATCAACCCAGAGCCCTTTAGGACCAAATCATGTGAAGCATTTCAGATCGGAAGATTTTTTGCTAAGCCACAATGCATGTACTCATGTGCGACAGAAATAAGCAATGATTAACCTATTTCCGATTGAAAATATTTAATCAATCTACTAGCAAAATGTCAGATAACGAGACAGATGAAGGCTATAATGAATTTATCAAAGAATATGAATTGAGATATGAATGGGGTAATGAAGGGAATCCTGATGAGTAAAGATACTGGAACGATCTTTTTTGCACAATCAAAACCTACTGGAGACAAAAGCAGTTAGGTATTGAAAAGAGAAAGCGCTTAAGCAATTTGTATATAGTCTACCCAATGTAAAAAATCCATCATCATTATTCCATGTATTTATACATTCTGATGCTTTTTATCTTCCACATATTTTGAGTCTGATAGAATTGCCATATTATCCACATAAACTTCGATGGGAAATATGGCTGGAGGGTATTGAGAAACCCTGATGTAGATTGCTTATTAAAGGTAAAGAATCAATAGTAGATTACTGTTTAAAGGCAAAAAAATGTAATAATATCATCAAACTCTGTAAAGATCATTTTAGAAATGAATTCTATAGTGGATTAACATGAGAAAATATGAGATGTATTGCAAAAAATGATTATTATCATGAATTGGTAGAAATGCTTATTCAGGCAAAAAAAGAATCAGTGACTGGTATTATAACTGGGTTTAAAGATTATATTAGTCAGTCCGGTATTGCTAATCTGAATGGGATACAATACTTATTGAGAGGTATACATTGGATAACTAATCTGAGTGAAGGTAGTCTAGAGCAGTGATCACCAGCTCAGAAGAATTTGCTGAGCCTCAATACATGTACTCATGTGTGACAAAAATAGATGATCACTAGACAGGGTTCGTGTAATATTAATCTTGCATATATATTCGAAAAGAAAACATATTAACCTTTATTCTTTATTTTTTCCAAACAAACATGAGAAAAATATGAAAGAGCGTCTAGTTGCAATACAGGACTTACCCTACAAGTAAATAGTGCCGGTAAAAGCATATATTATGAAAGGCTGAGAGACTTGCAATTCCGAGATCGCCAGGCGTAAACCAACTATATGTCTTTTCGGTAGATCTCCATGTGAAAAGGTATGAGATTCCATTTGCATGTGCTTTTATAGAGTTCTTGGCATCAGACGACAAAGTTAATTACGCCTCATACCTCCTTAACATTTTTCCAGCAAGATATAAAGCATGTAGGAGTATGTGAAAGTTCAGCCAACTTTCCGCAAAAAAGTTTTCCGTAAAATAACGCAAAAATAAGGTATGTATATGCCAGAAATTATGTATAGGAGCGAAATGTTTTTCTTATTATGGGCCTTATATTTAGGAAAACAAGATGATGGATACCGATTACTTAGAAGTTACTGTTAAAATGGTAACAATAAATTTGTAGTCAGTACTTTTCAGACTTACGGTGTCGATAGACTCAAAAACTACGTCGCAGGAGAAATTAATACTACTCATTTTGATCTCTATAAAAATAGCGTACATCTAAAAAATCTAATGGATAGGAAGAACGCACTTTTTAATTATTTTGATACTATTGATGATAGTAATTTAACAGTCGTTGTATATCCCACTACCCCCAAAATTTCCTCTAACAAATAGTTAGGAAACTTTATCTGTTTTTTATTCACAACATTTATCAGCGATATAGTTGCAAATTTTATGTATTATAGGCTGGCTTGATCCCTCTGGGACCCTTCTGACAACGTTTTTTATTTCATAAATAAAGTATTTTTATTTTATCAGTACATGAGAAATGGGTCACATGTGATGATGTGCCTGTGTGACATAAAAACATATATTAGCGCTTGTTTTTTCCCATCCCAGAATTTTATCTCACTCTGAAAAGTAACACTATTTTTTGTCTGAGCCTAATAACCATATAAAGTGCTATGTCTACCTCAACAACTGAACACGACTCTTACTTGGTTGAGAACTGGGATACAGAGACCCTTATTGATCATTTGAAAGAGCAGAACCTCAAGCTCGACAATGATGACTTGGGAATACTCCGCAATGAAAAGATTACTGGTCAAGACTTTCTTGACATGTGACTGAAGAAAAATTTCGTAGTTATGGTTTAAAAGGTGACCCTGCCATGAGACTTGCAAAAGAGATACAGACCTTCAAAAAAAAGCTGAAGTGTGCGTTCTCCTCATACCGCAATTTGAAGAAGGTGTTAGCAAAATATGGCATCGATGGTAACGGTATAGGCACCATTTGTCAGTTTTCACCAGTAAGTTTTTTAAATACCGCTTAGCCTTGGGATTTATACGAAGATACTTCTCTCATTTTTCTAAGCGACCTATAAACTCGAAGACGACGATGAGGAATTGGTACAGTGTATAAAGGAAATAAAGTGCAGATTGGAAAATATGGGAACTATGCTTGCTGATAGTAATGAAGCCATGCGTTGCGAGTATATTTTGGCCATTCTTCACGCTTCGCTCTATATCATCAAAAGAATAACCAAAAAAGAGCTTACCTTAGCACCTCAGTTCGAAGTTGTCAGCGAAGAAAGTACTGGTCAAGTTAATTATGCAATTAAAGCCTTCGAGGAACTTATTTGCATCACGGAAGGGAAGCTACATCAAGTAGTTATGGGTTTCGCTCAAAATTTGATTCAATATAAAAGTGTTCTACAAGTTAATAAAAAGAATAGGAAACGTAAATCAGGCGAAGCGTTTGGGGATTACTTCAACTATATCTACGGAATCATTACAAGTGAGACAGTGTCTTACAACGGTCTCAAAATAGTATTTTATTCTTTTCACCTCAGATGGAATATCAAGCACGAGCAAGGATCCCCTCAATATTCGATTTTCAGAATCTGCTTTGAAGGAAGGATCAGAGAAAGAAAATGATTTGCGTAAAAATGTGAAGCGGGTTATGGAGGTCATCGTTGGGTTGTTGAAGGATAGGCTGGAGTGTGTGGATGAAGAACTTGATAGGAAGAGGGTTAGGGTAGAGGGTTACCATTTGAAAAAATAATCATGTACTGTATATTAGCATAGATGTCATGTATCCTGGGCTACGTCTCGAACTTTATATTTTATTAATAAAAAAAAATTGAATTTTGCAGGCATATATGATATGTGAAAAAATATATAGTCATGGAACTGCCATTCCAAGTCTATAAACAAATTTGTATTGTAATCAAATTTTAACCGAGTAGCTGTAACAGAGCTAATACATGCTCTGACTCTAAAACATCTGCTTTTGTGAATACGTTATATAATACATTCAGTTTATATCTTGAAAGTACTAAATTTGGGTAATGGAGGAATTTTTTAAGTACGTCATCCCTCCAAGCTTTCGTCTCTTCTTGCTCCCAAGTTATTCCTATTAACGTAGTTAAGTTGTCACTGGAATAGTTCATTTGTATTAGATTCTGAAGAGAGGATCGTTTATTTTTTTCAAGGGTGAATAAACTCATTCCTCCTACAACAGCAGATTCTACACTAATAGGAAAGTTTTACGAATATCCGTTCTACTCGCTAAGATTGATAAAGGCAGAATTAGAGCTGGGTGGTAGAAGTCGGCTAAGGGATCCAGCTCAAATTCACCTACATATATGATTCTAATGTCTTCTAAATAATCTGAGAGTCTATCAACATATTTATAGCCTTCACGAATTAACTTCTGAAATAGCTTTCTGTTTGGATCGATCCATCAGCCGGTTAGAATGTTGAGTACTGTTTTTCCGTGTCCATAGATGATGATTTATGCTGTGGTATATGATTAATCATTTACGATATACTTTTTCCACCACAGTTTAATTAGGATTTTCTCATTTTGAAATTCGAATTCTATAATGTGAAAGGTGCAAGAATATAATAAATAGATCGTCTTACCTGTCCACATATTAGAAAAGATGGGAGCACTTGTGGCCGAGTCTGTATCCGCTTGGCGGGATGCTCGCTTCACTGGAAATCAGGTGCAAATAATATGCTAAATCTCCATGTAGAATATGCTTTAAACCTACTTTATCTTATACAGGCTATTGCTTCAAGCATATCAAAAAAATTTATCGTTGCCTCGAAAGAGAAAGACAACGAATAAGTTCCTTGACTTAAGTCTAGTGCCTACTTGTATGATGGTCGTAAACCCCTATTAATAAAAAATTTCTTGGCATTTTCCGAGACGGCCCGTCCCAGAAATTTTTTGGTAATTTTCAGAACATTAAACAATTCCTTTCATATATAAAATTTATTATTGATCATATCAGTTAATGAAGGTAACCCATCCAAGCTTGAATTATTAAAACAGCGAATCACTGAGCTTGAGGCTGAGAATGTTGAGATTGCAGAGCTCAGGAAGGAGAATGCAGAGCTTAGAAAGGAGAATACTAATCTTAGAATGGAATTCGCTAACTTTGAGGCTGAGAGAGCTGAACTTAAACGTAGAATTACCAAAACTCTAAGAATGACTGAGAAAGAGAGAATGAGGCGTGACGCTGAAAATGTCAAACTCAGGGTCACAATCGAGGAGTTGAGAAAAAGTAATACTAAAGAGAATGCTAAGCTTAGGGATAGACTCACGAAAGTGGAACAGAACCAGTCGCTAAATGATAATTCTTCTAACAACAGTGCATCTAACTTCAATTTGGTTGCAGATCAGGTGCCCACGGTAATGCAACATGAGAAATCATTGGTGGATACTTCATTATCAAAAGACAAGGAAATGGACGCTTTCTTAGATGAGGTGCATAAGAAAAAGGTTAGTAATGAGATTAGGCAGAGAAATCAGAAAAAGAAACTTTGCTTTAGCGTCTCTGACCAAACCTAAGAGTCTCTTCCAACACATCCTGAAGAGAAAATGCCTTAAGAGATCAAGTGTCCTACCTCTAATCCAGGTTTGCATAAGCAAACAGAGAGTTACTGGGAGTAGCAGGTCACATAAGAAAAAGGAATGGATGAACTCAAGCATGAATTATTCAATTCTCCCTCAGAATCAGTTAGTCCATCCTATATAAATCATAATGAGACTGAAGTTTCTGAGACGATCCGTCCTGGAAAAGTTATCTATGATAGCATCGATAAAGCCTCACAATATCTAGCTCAGTTATGCGACAAAGCCATCGATGCTGAAAATAGGGCAAATCAAGCTAATCAGGAAGAAATTTTATGTTGGTGTCTCTATTGGAAGGATTTCAGAGATCAGCTTGATGGGATTATCGGAAGCAATGGTGGTAAATTTGGTGAAAAGAAGGTGAAAGGTATGCTTTATGACACTATCACAGAACAGCTTTCTATCCTCCGCAAGAAAAGATCGCAAAAATTGGGCTAAAACTTAGGGATGTATCACAGGATAGCTTGCGTAAGAAAACTCAGAGAGCTGAAAAAAACTATAAATTATTCGAAAAAGTGGGTTTAGATAAGATCAAGTATATTAATTCATATAGCGCAAATTCCATTTCAGAGCTTACTGATGCGCAATTTTAAGAGATCATAGATTATAGTATGATTTTGGAAAAGTTGTCTCCGGAAGCTGGTCATGTGTCCGAAATTTCTGAGACGTCCCGTCTTGAAAAAATCTTGCCTAAAGTAAATGCACCATCTATACCTCAAATCACTTCAGCTAAAGCAGATGATAATGATCTCACAGATCTTAAGGAGGAAGATTTCTGTGGTGGTGAGATAGTAATCACAAGTGTATTATCTGCATCCCAATCTAAGCCCAATCATTCATATTTTCGCAACAAGATATTGGATTAATATCCTAATCTATATAGAGAATGTAGTATTAAAAATTTATACTATTATGAGATTACTGATGAGACAACATGCGGGGACTATATCTGCCCATTATGCAAATTAGGCCATGATGATGAAGAAATAGAAGGTAGGTATAAAGCAGGATCTTACTTTATTAAATGTGAACAGCGTGAAATTGAGATAGTTGCATAGTCTCATTGCTTTACAATAGTCTAGAAATTTTAATCTTTTTTTTTCGAACGAATAGGTCTATATGAGAAAAAGGGATTTAAATTGTTTGTAGACATATAAAAAGGAAAATGACTGAGTCTGATAAAATACTAACCCCTGAATATCTAGACTGGCATGCTAAATTAAGTGGGTTACCAAGCGTTTTGACAGATAAGATTCGTTCCAAATTATACAAAAGATATAAAAAACAAACTGAAAATGAGCTATGGCAATTATCAGAAGCTGTGATAGATATGTCAGCAAAATCGGTCCCTTGCCCTAAGCGCCTTTGGTTGGGACTACCTCAAGCTTCTGATTTCAAGCCTATCCGACCGCAAAGAGTTTAAACCAAGGGACCCATATCACCTTCGAAGCCAGACCTGATCCAGAATCAATTATTCAGTCAGTCTTAGAGCACTTCCCATACTTGAAATTCTGAAATAGTTTTAGAGGTATCGATAATTATAATTTTGCTTCACTTTAGCCGTGGAGCTCACCATGTCCTATTTGTGATGGAAAGCATGGGAATTATGGCTTACATGGCTCATGGTACTGCGAAAATGGGAATCAGCTCCCCGATGATCCTGAATTAGCGAAATTCTATTCTCAAGATAAGTTAAAATATTGTCTTACCTGCAACACTTCAAGCAATAAACTCAAGTTTGCAATTGTAGCATAAAAGCTTTATTGTGTACTCTCACACTTGTATTTATTTTTTTTATCACTTGCATGTATTAATACAGTACTGTGAATATTCTTCTCAATGTGTAAAAACAATGAAATCCCAAGACTGTGACGCGTGTCACAATCTCAAAGTTCAGCATATCTGAAATGTGTGCCAGGTTAACTTATATGGGTAAGATCTGCACTATTTTTCACACCCGTCACACCCATACGGTGAAGCATAATTTCTATTTATTTTTTGGACTTAGTTTTTTTCACATGGTGTGAAACCTATTTGTCACACATTATTTGTCACCGGGGTGGTCAGCCGACCATAAAATCATGGTCGAGCTGACCACCTAAAATGGCACACATTTCAGACGTGCCAAAGTTCAGCACTTTTTTTATATGCACTATTGTAAAACATGATTTTGTGACAGATGACAGTTGCGTAACTGGTCAACTGGTGAGTCAGATAAATCTGTGCGACAACCGATTTCTTATATACTGTATATACCAATCAGTTCTAAAATTTCCTTTCTTTTTCTTTCGTACAAGTTGTGAAACCAATTATTGTACAAAAAAATCATAAATAGTATGTCTTCGACATCGGCTTCTACCTCTACTTCAACTAATGTTCGTCAAGAATTTAACCGCCTCTCCCTCGTGGAATCCGGAATCACGGAGGATGAATTTGGTGATTTACTGGCTTATATCACAAACAACCCTAACAAGATACCTGATATTGAAGAAAACCTCAAGTACGGCTCTGATAAAGTTAAGATTAAATATCTGAGGAAGTTATTAGATTCTGGTATGTTTCACATAATCTAACTTCATTATTTTTGTGCTGTGTCATTTTTCGTCTTCTGTCATATTCGCCAATAATACCGAATACTTACTTATTCTTGTGCTTTTCTTTCCTGCTTCTTATCGTCAAACCCGCCCAAAAAACACATTCGCGTTATCGCAGATCAACCTGGTGCTAGTGGTAAGTGAGTCGTAATAAGTTTTTCAACGCGAGTGAACGCGTCTTGGCTTGACTTGTTGTTCTCATCTACGAACTGGTTTATGCAAAATTATTTTTCCATGTAGTAAGTACCTCAAAGATAAATACCGGACGTGTACACGTTTTCGTCGACAACTCCAATCTATACGTTGAGGGGAAATATTCTGTTGGCCAACTTGAAAGGATTTATGACTGGGTTAAAATAATTAACGAAGATACTAAAGTTGAAGAATATCGTCAAGTTTACTATATGAAACATCTTCGGATAGATTACGGATGCCTTCTTACAACTATTCTGAGTGGACGTAGTATGGGTAGTAGTCCAGTTATCGTGGGTTCTCGCCCACCATCAGATGATACGCTGTGGAACAAAGTCAAAAAACTTGGATATGAAGCGACCGTATACGATCGGAATAATGAAAACAAAGAGAAGAGAGTTGACATGAAGCTTGGAATCTCTATGGTGGTCCAAGCTCTCCTTAAGGCCAAAGGTCCTGGCGTATTGGTGCTGATAGCCGGTGACGGGGACTATGAACCCGCATTAGAGGAAATATTAAAAGTGGGATGGAAAGTCGAGATACGATTCTGGGCTTCTGGTATGAAATATCATTGTCTTGTAATCATAAGTTGCTAAACAGTTAAAGTGCTGTACTTGAAATAGTTCCAATTTTTTTTAGCAATTTCTCGTTACCTTAAAACTCCAGATATTACTCGTGAAAATAAAGAATTGAAAATATTATACAAACCTTTGGATGAAGAATACCAGAATTTTACATTCTGCGTCGGACCTGATCTCACCAGGAATAAGAGTGTTTTTCGAATTGAACGTAAAGATAAGAATCACAATTGGAGTAGTGAAGAAATTATGAAATGTTATACAGAATTGCAATTGTTCTGTTGGTGGTACGAAACAGATGATGGGGCACTGGAGCTATATTTCAAAAGTAAGGCGCAGGTGGAGAGGGCAGATCGTTGGATGATGAAAAACTTTCCGAATGTTAAGGCCTGGAAAATTCAAGGTAAGTATTTGATATTTGGATTTAGATTCATAAAGAATTTATTGAAATTGTGTTTCAGCAAGATGCGCTTTGATGCGTTCTTAATTCATTTTAACAAACCCCTCATATGCTTGAGTGTTAATGATTATGTATGAAGTCACAACGCGTGAAAAATCTATTCTATTATTTATTTTTATCGCCCATTTTCTTATAGATATGCCCGATGAGCTCCATGAGCTCCCAAACTAATTTTAAGGATTAAATGCTTCCGAAAATACATCATTTATCACAAAGATAAAATTAAATATTCAATAATAAGTTCTGATCCACATACTGACTTGTCCACGAATTTCACCTATAAAGATCCAAAGCATTACAAATTAATGGGCAAACGATTATCATCTTGTAAGATAAATATCTTCTCCACTATTTGCCGAATTAATAAATCATTTTCTTTAACAGTTAACTAGTAAATAATAAAAACAATCTATGTAGCTATTACGAAGATTTTGTATCTGTACTTCGCATACATTTATCAATAAAGTTTCGCCCATAGTTCGGGCATTTATTTTTTTTACATATGTGGTGTGTGATGTGTATAATGCATCGGAATAAATAATAAATTTTCTTGATCCACTGCATGGGTTTATTGCGCAGAGTGACCGAGCCCTTGTGACATGCTCAGAAATAAATTTCTTCAGGAGGAAAAGCTTTCCATCATTCCCTTGCTTTAATCTTAGAAAATATTTCGCTAAGATAATTATATTATATCCCGCATGCTTCAGTAGGAGGAAAAAATGCGCAGTATGATATCTTGCTGAAGAATAGGGGCTGTGCGACGTGCGAATCGCATATATTCGCATGATTTTTTTTCGACTTGATTTGCATTTATTTTTGCGTCATGTCTCCAGGCACGCTACTATCATACTGACAAAACAATATTCGGGTATGGCTATTTTTTCCAGCAATCATTATTTCGCATATGAGATTTGGGGATGTGTATGCTAATCATGAAGTCATTTTTATCGATTTGCAGGGGGATTAACGGACGGTGGATATAATAAATATGGTGAACGCGATAGTGGTTATTATTATCGTGACGGAAGATACGAAAGATAAAGCTCACCAATGATGAGTCCTATTATCTCTCCTAGGGAAATTATTACATACTTTAGTACTATTTTTTCGAATCACGTGGGTGGCTTATGCAAAAGAAACTTCGCCTGTTCATCATGTGTGGAATCAATCATCTGGCCGAAGGCGCTTAACACAAATGCGCAGTACGATATCGGGAAAATTCTTGCCGGCCTCTATTTCAAATTATTGTAGGTAAAGATTTTTTTCTTCGATTCACTGTCCGATCGGTCAGCGAAAGTCACGTGACTGTGGCGCAGTAAATATGATTGACCGAAAACAATTGGCTGATCAGTTTGCTTTAGTGCGACAGGGGAATTTCTCACATATACTTAGCCCCCTAGGTATTTTTTTCGCAAATAAAAATTCTTTTCACTACCTCAGCTTTCGGCGAACGTAATATCATTTTTATATTTTTTCCACCCGAGCCTAAACGTAACGCTGTCAGATATTGTAGATACACCAGCTTCTATCACTGCTTCCGCAACTACTGGAGACAGTCACATGCGGAGTTAAAAAATATGGTACACCTGAACTTATCAAGTTTTTGCGCGAACAGGCTTAGGTCTTAGTGGGACAGCTATCAAAATTTTAGAATGGAGGAGTTAATGATCAGGACTTTCTCAAGCTGACTGAAGAAAAACTTGAGCATCATGGAATGAAAATGGGAACCTACGTCGAGGCTTGCAGACTTTGCTAGGAAGGTTTTCACTGTGTAAGTCTCAAAGTTATTTGTTCATCTATTCCATACATAAAAAATAACTCTTTCGTCCCATTTCTAAGAAACCTATCCACTTTTTTTCTTATAAATTCGAAAAAAGTAAACTATCAGGATAGGTTATCTCCTGAAGGTCTTGACAGCCATTTTTAGTAATCTTTATTTTTCGTGTATAGAATTTGGGATTAACAAGGAGATTAATGTAATGACGAAATGCATGTGTCATCAAATGGAGATTTTCAGGGAGAGTCGTAAGGGACCGAATCGGATCTGGAGAATCTATTTTCCTGTGAATATCAAGTGCTATAAAAACGTCTGTTTAAGCAAACTAGCGACATTTTTTTCAGACCACAGAGTAATGAGTGGGCAGGGTATGAAGAACCAAGAGAGCACAATGGAAGCTCCATTTGATGTAGAAAAGATCACTGCCGACGATATCAACATGGAGGGTATGGAGGATATGGAGGGTGTTGAGGATAGCATAAACACTTCATTGGTTATACCCACTACCTCTACTCAAAGCAATAATGTGCAACCAGCTCGCATCTCTACCAGTGATACTTATAATGTGCAACTAGCTCGCAACAGATCCCTAAAAATATTTGCTTTAAATATATTAAAATACCTCCCAGAGGATATTCTTCGTGAAGAACCAGATTTTTCGTTATTTAAAACGAATGATGCTATCCCTGATAATGGGTCATGCGGAGATTGCGATATGTTTATTTTTTCAGAAGATCCGTCTAGATCGCTCGTTATAAATGTTTGTGGTGACATTATCCATCGGACTTGCGCTAACAAAGTAGATAATCGTGGTGCCTTACCCTGCTCATGTGGCGTGATTGATGATATGATCCATTTTTACTTTTAGAAGAAGTCTTGAATAATTCGAATGAATCCCGTAAGTGAACACGTGTGAAGGTTACCTCTAGTAGAAAAAAAGTGAGAACTAAAAAGAGATTGAAAGATGCGTCGCCTATGCTGAAAAAACTTATTGAGGAGTTGAAAACTTTACCAAGTTCTGTTGAGGATAACTCAGAATCACAACTCGAAGCTCCAGGGAGTTTTATTGATTTACATGAAGCAATTATCCAGGCTGAAAGAAGAACTGTGACCAATAATCACGAAATTATTAGAGCTTATTATTCGTTTGGCAAAGAACTTGAGAATAGGCTCACCTTCTATAAAATTACGTATAGTGAGCGTAGGGCTCAGAGAAAATTAAACGATGAAGTAGGAGAACAACTTCCCAATGATCTCACCCAAAATGCAATTGAGAAGAGAGTAGAAAGAGCAAGGAAGATTTATGACCTCTTCAGTGGGATTGGGATTGATAAAATACAACGTGTATCTTATTCTGCATTAAGGATTTCTAAGTTGGATTAGGATGAGATCGATACTATAAAAGAAGCGTTTGAGTAATTTTACTGCGCTACAGTCACGTATCTTTCGCTGACCGATAGGTCAGTGGATTCGTTTTTATAAATGCTCTATATCAATGAAAAAAATAATAAAGCTTTGTCCGGGCTATTTGATTTTTTAATTTATGACTCTTAAGAACTTAATGATTTCATATATAACTAAAAATTCAATTCATATCTAGAAATATAGATCAATCAAAATCTGATTGGCCGATCATCTTGTGATTTATCGAAACTCGCCAGCTCCTAGAACTCTCCTAGAACTTGAATTTAATAGAGTGTAGTCTTACCAAATGGGCTATAAATTAATAAAACCGCTAGTGGAATACCATTCTGCTACATCCATATAAATTTGAATCATGTTATTCTTTGGTATAAGTTGCTAAAGAATTGCTATAAATTGCTAAAAACGCTATTAATCTGCTATAATTACTACAAACACCCTTACATTTGTAAAATGGTTAAAACTAACTACTATTCTGGTTTAAATCCTGTAGTAGTGCAGGCGTTGAACAATCTGCAATATAGGTATAGTGGTAAAACACCAGAAATATGGTGTTCTCGTGTTCATTATTCATTTAAGACACTTCTTGAAAATAACCTGAAATACTTTTCTAAGAATGGATTTATCCAGATGATTGAAAGATATTATAAAGATAGGAAATTTAAAGCTGGGAGACGCTCATTTCATATTTATTACACTGTATGCGACTCCTTAGTAATTATTCGTAAAAATACCATCAAATGTGGCAATAATCATCTGAAGAAATGTATTGCTAAAACCGCTAAAATGCATTCTAATTCTGTACGAAAGAATATGAAAAAAGGAGGAAGTGTATCATCGCTCAGTTCTGATGAGATTGATAGGATTTTTATAAATTATTCTATATATTCACCGTGCGGTTATAATACGGACTATAAATTTAGGAAGAGAATTGCTTATCCCATATTTAACAGTGCAAATATCATCCAACGGGCTTGAAGAGCTTTTAAGTTGAGATCTAAAACATGGGCAAAATGAGTTTGGAATATGATAAGGAATGATAACACTCCCGATGAAAAGAAGATTTTAGGAATAGATCTTAGCATTAAAAAAGCTCCTGATAATTATATAGCAAATAATGTAGATAAGAAGAAAGAACAGCTAAGTAATCGATTATGTCTTGTATCATATATAGTGGCTTTTATAAAATTACATCAGCAAGGCTATAGAATCGTTGAATATTTAGGATGGACTTATATGTTAAAGTGGCTATCAAATCCTAAATATTATCATATGGATAAATACCTCAACAATGGCAATATAAACTTTGTTAGAAATTCAGAATATGTGCAATATAAAATATGTAAATTGCATGGTAAAATAGATTCATATAATTCGCTAAAAAATGACTATTTTAAATCTGAATATTTTACTATTGAGGGAAAGCTTAGTATTATAGATTTCTCAGATCTGAATAATAATAATGATGAGTATGTGCGCTGAATTTTCTGAAGCATAGATTCTTTATTAAAATAGTGTAGTATATTTTATATTCATGTATAATTATTAGCCGAGCGCTTTGTAAAATAATACAATATAATATTTTTTTTGCGCTATCCTGTGAAATGTATAACTAAAATTCAGTATACATGTAGACATGTGCGACATAATTAAAACGTGTTTCTGATTCTCATTAAAGTATATATAATGTAATAGGTGATACACTACAAATCATCTGTAACTCTGTATGACTGCTTGTACGACTAATAAATTTTCACACATAAGAAATCAATCTCCAAAATGTTTCACTATTTATCTGAATAGCATTTATTTGAGTTTATTTCTTCTGGAGCATTGCATTGCTACAGGCTATTCCTACTAGATTCTGACCAGAGTATATTTATATAATGTTACTAGGCCTTTATTACTGAGCAGTCGAGCAAGTGAAATAAAAAAAAAGTATGTATATGCATATTTCCCAACGTCTTTGCAATGTTGAAATCTACAATGCACATTCCACATGTCTTACTCTTAAACATAAAATTTTGGCATAAAAGGTTTATTGCATATTCTCCCGCTTCGACCCCAACATAAACTCGGGCTCAGAGAAGATGTGAATGGGGAAATTGCAAACTATTTAAAAGGAGAGTATATGAAATTTGAAATTATAGTTGCTTATTTTTTACCAGGCGTGTACTAACAAAAACTCTTATATCTTAAATTAGTAAATTATGTCTAGCTCATCAGCCGAAATTTTCGCTTCATTATACAGCTTTTTAAAAACCTCTTCCTTAGATAAAATAACCACTTCTAGTATAATCACCCAGCAGTGGAATTGTTTCAAAATTCAATCAGAAAACGAAGACCTCAATTGTCTTATGGAGATCTTAAAGGATATAGAGAATGAAGTTAACAATAAAGAGCGCAAACAACATCTTAAATCTTTGCAGAATATTAACCAAGTAATTTACATTATTTTTGTTCTTTTTTGTAAAATAGGAATAATGTGATGAATATATTGTCTAGATATTAATAAGTGTAGTGCAATTGAAAAAGCGACATATTGTCAGCGAGAATCTCTTCCATTACACTTACGGTGATTTTTAAGACAATAATGCCGGCTAGTTCTGATTAGGATGGGATTTTGCGCAAAAAAAAAATAATGATGTCTTCCTGAATTTTATTAACCCATCTATTTATTTTTAGATGCAATTCATTAGAAATGAGCTAGTTTCATTAAAAGACATGGGATTCTTACGAGGAAAATTCAAAGAAGAAGTAAATTGGAAAACTGTAGCATTAAAGAATATAATGCTTTTGAAAGATAAAATTAAAGTAATCGATATATTTATTTCTCATCTTAGAAAATTCGGTCATGTGATTTTTGAACTAAATATTTTTTTAATTTGGTTAAAAGAAAGAAACACTGGCATACAAACATATTCTTACAATAATAAACTAATATTGATATTAATAAAATATCAAATGATGATCCGTTATGTATTGGAGTAATAGATCTTAGCTCAGAGAAATATAATATACTGGAAAGTAATTATGAATCCCTTATTGTATGTATAGCTTTATTTTTTTTTCTTGATGTAATTATGACTGGTAATACATTTCTATGTAATAATAATTACTTCTAATATTTATAGGGAGAGAAGGCTAACATAAGAAACTTAAGCAAAGATGTGAGAGTAAAGAAAATATGCAACGATTTTTTATCAAAAAGGAATGAAGTCCATAAATTACAGAAATTTATGTTGCCTTTGAGAGATATAGTAACGCATTATCAATGGATTGGAATTACTGATATTCTTTTACAGAAGATTAGGCTGAAAGCACTTCGAAGAGTTTCTGAGGGATCTGAGAATACACTAGTAGAAATTATAGCTCATTTAATAGACATGACATATATCATTTACCTGTAAACTATGAGGTTGAAGTTACTAGGGCTGAATGTCAAAGTAAAGCCAGTAAAAACTGCAAAGTTCAGCAAAAAAGTGGATTGAGGAGATAAATCAGATCTCATGTTTCGTGCTTACCTTCGCCAAAAGTGAAAAGAAATCGTTTTCTTTAAAAGCGGGAAATGGAATGCTGATAAAGATAAAATCAACCATAACTATAATAAATTAGTACAACTTTATTTGGATGGGTCTAAAGAACTTGTAAAGAAATGCACGAAAGAAACCTTCTATTGAAATTATATAGGATTCGGTATTAATATTGCAGGTAAGTATCTTGAGATTCATGGTTTAATAAAGGAAAAGGGATAAAATACCATCTTCCAGTCGTTAAAGCAAAAATACCCTTGATAAAGAGTCAGTTGAGGAAATCGAAGAGTTCGTTCATGCTCTATTAGTTTTGCGAGTAAGTGTTTTCCTCATTTCTAAATAAATACTTAGTTATATAATAATACTGATACAAAAATCTCTAATTCCAGAATGGGGTTATCGTAAATTTACAAATAGTTTTCAAAAAAGATCAAAGAAAATGAGTAATATAAGTCCTCCTCCACATGAAGCTAGAAGATTAAACAAGAAAAATAGTGTGAATTTCTAAAAATATTTCTTTAGATTAACTACAGTGGCCCACAAAAGAAGTGTGATTGGTTACCTTTGAACGGCTATAACTCATCAACCACAAATGCTAGAAA